CATGTGAAGTCTACCAATTTCCACTTGGCCAGCGTGATGGACTATACCCTGATCCCACTCGTATTGAAGGAAGGCTCGTGCCCAGCAGTGGGACGATAAAAAAGGGCTAAATACAATAAACAGTAGCAGTTAATCATTAGAAAAAGCTACTAACAGGTTAGTTTTATACAGTAAACAGGATTTTTACTCATTCCGAAATTACATTTTCATATGAGATTTAAACTTATATAGACCAAATATAATTAATCTACTGATAAAAATTCTCATATATATAATATTAGCGGCTTACCCTCGCTTTGCTCGGATTTGCCTCTAGAAAAACAAAAACAAATCTATCCCACGGGAATCGTAAATTTTTACGGGATAAAAAGTAGCCTATGTGCTATTTCAGATAAAAATCTATCCCTGTACCAAATTTAATCCAAATGCGTTTTGCCGTTCTGGCGCAATTAAGCAACAAACATTCATCCAAACATCTAAACTTTCACATCCTAGTAATATTACAATCCCGGAAAAATGTACGGTTTCTGCGGGGTCAATTTGTTTTTGTTTTTCTAATACATATTAGCAAGATACATACACACACACGCACATATACGTATATATACACACATATATATATATATATATATATATATATATATATATATATATACCTATATATGTATAACATATGTATTTAAGTTGTAGGGCACACTTTTTAATTAGATGTGACAAAAAACTCTTATGCCTGTCATCTGTTTGTAAAACTAAATGATGAACATTGTGCCCCAAAAGATAAGAGTCACTTCACCTCTTTTTAAAGTTAATTTTAAACATTGCTTTTATTAAAATAGTGTAGTGCACTTAGAATTAAGCTTTATAAATAAAAGTTAAAAAAGCTTTGAATTTAAAAAAATATATATGATTTTTATAAAATAAATAGCAAATAGTTGAATTATTTGTAGAACAATACACTCGTATCAAAAGCTTTCAATCATATGGGTCACTGTGCAGTAATAACATAGAAAAAAGTAAGTATTCTTAATTTGATATGGTTGTTGCAAAGCCTTTGTGTATACGAGCTGGTTGAAAAAGGTTGCGAATAAACTTCATTAAGCCTGAAGTACATACATGCAAAGTTATTATTTTGTAGTATCTCGACGCCCATATTTTTTTATAATTTAATTATAAAATACAGTCAAGCGTTATAAAAAGCATATTTAGATAAATATGTTTTTATATAAAATCAGCGACTTACCCTCGCTTCGCTCGGGTCGTCTCTAGGTTGATTCCCCATACAAACTTTCATCCCCATTTTCACCCCCTTAACGGATGATTTCCAGAATAAAACTGCCCTATGTCCTTCCAGGGTCTCAAACTATCTTCTTACCAAATTTCATCTAAATCGGTCCAGTAGTTTAAAAGTTCATTCGCCACACATATAAAACAAAGTCGGGTCAGTTACCTTATTTATAACTCAAGAATGGCTGGACCGATTTTTATGATTTTAGATTTTTTGGATTTGTCTTCCCGCCCCGAATAGCAGAGTAACTATTAAAACATAGTAAAAAATAAAATCAAATTTTGTAAAAAATCCTTATTTTCATTTAACTACTTATATTTACGAGCAGCAAGCTTTCGCGTCCCTTACCAGCTATTTGTAATAAATTAACATTCCCGTTTTTCTCGTATAAATGCGAAAATCTGTATGTGCGTGTATGTTCGATAGTCCTTCACGCTGAAAAGACTGAATGGATTTTCATGAAATTTAGGACACATTTAAAGTAGGACCTAGGCACATAGGTTATTCTTTGGCAACTATGGATGAACCCGAGCGTACCAAGCGAACCCAATGTATATATATAGTATATATATATATATATATATATATATATATATATATATATATATATATAATAAGAGTAAGTAAATGTATAAAAATATACGTATGACGTAGAAAGATATGAAGAACCGTGTGAGTTAGGCGGAAAGACTGCGTCAAAAGACCAAACACCTTCGCGTTTACAAATAAAAAAGAGGTATTTTAATTTAAATATGAAAAATATTAAAAAGTGTGTCTCTCTCCATTTCATAACGGTCGGCTATTCGAGATAATCCCAGCATTCTGTATGCATTCTGCTGAGTTCAGCGTTTCCTGCAGCTCTTGTGTGTCAAGGCACTTTATTGTTAGACGAGTTTTATTTTTAACTTTCAATTTTAAATAGTTTTTAAAAAACTTGCTTTACCTAATCGTTAAAATGTAATTTTAGAATGTTGTTTGTAGACATTGCAATTATAAAAAATAAGTCTTTGGGCTTTTATGGTCGAAGTGACGAAGATTATTTATACTAGGTTTTTATGTTTTTTTTGAGTTCCCGATATTTTAAAACTGTTGCAATTATCAATAGACTTCTTTATTGAAGAAAATAAATACATGTTTTAAATATAAAACTATTTTTTAGGATTTTTTCGCGGATTCATTTGGATATCAAATAAATTACAAATAAATCCGCGAAAAAATCCGAAAAGATAGCTTTATTTAAAACTAGCATTGCCCGCGGCTCCGCCCGCGTTCAGATGACCAAAAACCAAATTCTTAGGTTTTACATAGTAGTATACTCTTACATTGCAGTTTTTGTATTTTTGCTCAGAAATGAGACATTTTCCCGCGGTAGAAAGTATCCAATATGTTGACCCGGATAACCAGCTGTGACCATACCAAAATTCATAAAAATCTCTCCAGTGGTTTTTCTGTGATGCGGTAACAGACAGACAGACACACATACGCCACAAGAAACGACTGATACCCTCATTTGCAGCATGAACAGACGGATCCAGTCTCATAAAGACTTGTGTGGGCAACTCCTCATATAATCAGACTTTGTAATAAGGTAGTTACCCAAAATTTTAAAAAAGTAGCAAAAAAATAAAATTTTATTTATGTATAATATTGTTTTAACAAAAAAAATTGGTACATAATAATCTATTTAATTATTTTTTATTTAGTTTAAAAATAGATAAAATTAATTTAAGCTATATTTTAACAATGAAGTTAACATCTTTAACTTGGAAGCAATGTTGTTCTTATTTTGCCGGTGTGTGTAGTAATATAAATAAATATCTGTAGAATAGTAATATTAGGCAAAAGTACTTTTTAGTCTACAATCCATACTTAATATTATAAATGTGTTATATAAATGTGTTGTTTGTTTGTTTGTTTGTTTGTTTGTTTGTTTGTTTGTTTGTCCTTCTTTCACGTCGAAACGGAATAACGGAATGGCGTGATTTTTTGTGTGGAGATAATTAGAGAGCTGAAGAGTGAAGGACATAGTGACATACTTTTTATCGCGGGAGATTACATAATTCCACGTCCACGGGAAAATACGTTATAATACAATCCAAAAAAGTATTTACTATCAGAATTACTTGAAACTTGGTATTAATGCTCTTCAATACAATTAAATAAATACGTGTTTTACCATTTTTCGAAATTCATCCCATAAGGGGGTAAAATAGAGTATGAGTTTTAGCGCGAGCGAAGCCGCTGGTTCTGCTAGTAACTTTATAAGTAATAAATCGAAAAATAAAGTTAAACTTTATTCAATCAGATTTAAATAAGCACTTTAGAATCGCCAATTTAATTGAAAGAGCGTCAGGGTCACAGTCAGTCCGTGAGGAAGCTACCACCGGCTCGGAAAGCAGTTCTACTGGGAAGAGTCGGCGAGAACAGTTACTCTTTTAAACATCAAGTAATATTCTCTTCATTTCATATATTTTTTCAAATCAGCTGCTTTTTAAGCACATACGTTAAAATAAAATAAGTTTTCTCTTATACAGGAAATACTTGTGAGTAAGTGAGCTTCAGATTATTTATAAAATATTTACCTCCGTTGATATAGTATGGATTCGTACATCAGATTTAGATATGCAAAGTTATGTAGTTTTAAGAGGAAGTTTACGCCTGTAATATTTTTTTAGCAATTGTACATATATATAACAGTATTTTCTGAATTTTATTTTACTTTTTTACAGAAACCGATTTTAGATAAAAATATTTAGTTTTTAAATTACAAATATTCTGTTGAGAATAGCGGACACACCGGTGTGTCAGTTAACAATTAATTTCATAGAAAGTATCCTGGAAGAGATATTGAAGTCATATATTAATTCCTTAAAAATTTAAAAATAATTTTTTTTTGTTTATTTTAAAAGTAAGGATAATTTTGAATTTTAACATTACGATATATTTGTAATGAAATTGAAATTATGTATTAAAGTTCTAAAATCTAGTCCACGATACTAAATATCTCTCTCATATTATATCATATTTTTTCATAGTAATATATATACATATATTTAAAAACTAAATTCTGTAAAGTAGCGTAATTTTTATTTTGAACCAAAGTGTTCTATTAAAAATTGCTATTCAAGTTAATTTCTGCTCTATTGACATTGTCCCATCTTAGCGCTCAGCGTTTTAGCTAATGTGTGTCAAGGTACTTCATTATTAGAATAGTGCTTCAAATTTTTCAAGGTTACAAACTAGGTTTTAAAACCCAACTTAATTTTGTGTACCTAGATTCTGTTCTGAATATTCTGTTTGTTACTTCACGCTGTAGAGCTCAAAGAATTTAAATGAATATTTGAAATAAAACTATTTTTTCTATTTTTCTCGTGTTATTACAGACAGTGAATAACTATACAATGACCTATGACGTCTAAAACCATGGTCTCTCCCGTGACCATGATTGCTGTAAAGGCTTCGAAACGTCGGGTTTCGAAAAATCTAAATAAATCCGCAAATAAATACAAAAAGATGAGACGCGGGTAATTTGAGGCTCAATTGCATGACAACATTTTGTATGATCACTAAGTTGGTCAATATGTATCTATTTGAAAATGTGTAAAAGTTGTATATACTTGATATAATTTGTTTATTATATTTTCAGTCTGTTCGAAAACCTCAAAACTAACGGAATTGCCAAGTTTAATTTCAAGTAATAGGTAAAAACACTTACAACTTTCCATTTGTAGCTTGCATTCCTGGGTGTCGTGAGGGTAGATGAGGAAGTTCATCGCACAGCTAAGTTTCAAGGTTAGCTTCACCATGTATAAGATGGTCTTGTCCTTGTACAGCCATACGTAATGGTTAGGGATGGTCATAGTCTGGAAGGTCACAGATTTGGCATTCTTGAAGAAGGAGTCGGGACGCCACATGTGTTTGAGCCAGTCCACTTCTAAAAGCCTGTTGGGAAAGATTTTTAAATTATTGGTATAGCCTTAATTTGGGTAAACAATTGTAATTTTGTTATAGGTTTTTTAGGGCTGTTTTGCTCACGTCTGGGAAAGTTTCTTATAATAGACATAATAACTAGTAATATAATCATAGAATATATATATTTTGAGTTATAGATAAGAGCTTAAGTACAAAAGACAAGACGTGATGATGATACGTGCATAAATTAGACTGCTTATCAAGAACTATTTATTTAGTTGCTTCCATATTTCATTGCAAATCCCAAAGGTTTTAGACTTAGGTATCAGGTCTTCTTGGTATTAGGGAGAAATTGAAAAATTCATGGCGTTACATCCTCGTGGCGACGGTTTCGCTCACGCTAAAACTACAAAAAATATCTTAAAAGGTAGTTTTATACACACTTTCATCGCCTATTTCACCCCCTTATAGGATGAATTTCGAAAAAAACTAAAACACGTATTTATTTAATTGAAGAGCATTAATACCAAGTTTCAAGTAATTCTGATCATAAATATTATTTTTAGGATTGTATGATAACGTGTTTTCCTGTGGGAAAGAGATAATCTCCCATGGAATAAATATAGCCTATGTCACTCTCCAGCCCTCCATCTATATCTACACAAAAAATCTCGCCAATACGTCTCTCCATTTCAACGTCAAAGAAGGACAAACAAACAAACACACTTTCGCTTTTATAATATTAGTATGGATTTAAATTTTGCCTTTAAGTCTTTCTCATTTTTGTTATCTCATCATTTTGAAACAAGTTAATTTCGGAATGAAGATATGTTATTTACTAAGCACGTACATAGGCTACTTACACTATCGCATTCATACACTCACCAAGTGACAGAGCCATGAGCTAAAACTAGTCTATACATATAATAAAATTCTAACACAGTCGAATCTGTACATTAAATATTTTTTGGAAAATCTAATTGAAATAGACATTATTATCGATACGGAGTGCGAATCTATAGTTTGTAGAATTTTTGTCTGTCTGTCTGTCAGTCTGTTACCGCATCACGAGAAAACCACTGGACAGATTATGATGAAATTTGGTATGATGATAGCTGGTCCGGGTCAACATATAGGGTACTTTTTACCGCAGGAAAATATCTCATTTTTGAGAAAATATACAAAAACTGCATTGTAAGAGTATACTAATATGTAAAACCTAAAAATTTGATTTTTGGTCATCTGAACGCGGGCGGAGCCGCGGGCAACGCTAGTAATTTATAAAGCACATTTCACAAACATACCTGTATTCAGTAGTCATATTCTCGGGGAGTCTGAGACGAAAGTCTTTCCAGGTTTGAGCAAAAAATATATCTGCAGCATACGTCTGTGAACAAAATAATGTCAGGCTTCACTAACTTTTACATAAGAAAATGCTGCCTTGTTTAGATGACATATTGCAAGGTCAAGTTTATCGCGTTTTAATTTGCATTTTCATGTCCACTTTACAGCAAACATTGTCACGGACGAAATGTCCACAACCAAAAATTCCCAAGAATATAATTTAATGTTTAGACACATAGTAATAATTTAATTACTAGGAGTTGTATTCAATAAGTTAAATTCATTAATTTACATTCCTTTAATACACCCACAAAAAGTACAACTTATTCAAATGTACATTACTTTTAGACCGACTTCAAAGAGAAGGATATACCTAACACATTTGGCTGTATTTTTATGGGCATGTACATACATACATACGAGGTATCGATTTTATTTTAATATTTTTACTTTTAGTAATACTTAGTTAATTTACCACGTAAAACAATAAATCACAGCGGCCTGACAGATGCGTTTTTAGACATTATTTTCTTTTACTTATAGGATGTACATAATACACAAAAATACAAACAAATCGAGTACCTCCTGTTTATTAAAGTTGGTCAAACACAACCAACAAAAAGTAAGTATATATAGAGGCAGTAGTGGGTAGTACGAGACGTAATGTTTTAGTTTCCGAATATAAACTTTCGAGGAGCATATTAATTTTTCAATACGAGCTCTTCAGTGAGGCAACTGAACGAGTTTGTAACTCAACGAGCTACTTTGATAAATTAAAATGTGAATTTCGCTGATCAACTTTTTAAAAAGTGCCATTAATTAAAAAAGCTATAAGTACACATACTTTGCAAAACAAATTATAATTTTATAAAGATTTTTTTTACTAAGTTTTAATTACGTTAAAAGAAAAATTGAAATCGTGGATTCATTATTGTGTAATACTTATGAACTAAGCGTTGAGACCTCTTAAATTACTATATCATTAAAATTTAGAAGAAATACAAAAATATCACTGAAAGTACCTTACTTGTTAGACATTTTTACTTTTGAGACGTCTGAAAACCTTAGTCTCTCCCGTGACCATGATTGCTGTAAAGCATTCGAAACGTCGGGAACTAAAAATCAAAATAAATCCTCGAAGAAATCCGAACACATAAGTTTTATTTAAAAAGCTTAGTTGATATTAATGTGTTTATTTTCCGAAATAGGATAAATATAATAACTTACAAAATAATAGGTATCTCCTTTTATTGAAATACCTATATATGAATAATAATAAATATACCTAAATAAAAAAAACAATACCATTTAGTTCCATGGTAATCTACGAGGCTTGTGTTATGGATATCAGATAGTTGATACACTACACATATGTAAATAGCTTTAAATACATACATATTATAAATATAGACACCCATGACTGGAGTGCAAACATTCGTGCTCATCACACAAATGAATGCCCCCAGCGGGACTCGAACCCGCGACCGCTGGCATAACAATTTCGGTCACTAAAAACTGAACCAAACGTGTCTTCATAATATAGTATCAGTATACGTTTATACACTATATTATTGTCATTTTCTTAGAATTGACTACTTTTGCGTTGGCTACTTTTGGACAAATTGAACACGATCAATATATTTGTACGTTAACATTAGGAGTATTGTAAACATATCTTATAGTTAGAATGTATTTATTGTAAATAATATTTTATTATTTAACTAGCCACTCACTCCGCTCGGGTTCGCCCTTACATACGTTTTAACGGTTAGTATAGATTTCTCAGAGATGAGATATTTTCCCGCAGTAAAAAGAATCCTATACGTTGACCCGGATAACCAGTTATCATCATACTAAATTTCATCAAAATCTATCCAGTGGTTTTCTCGTGATGCTGTTCCAGACAGACAGACAGACAGACATACAAAATTCTAAAAATTATAGATTCAGCCTCTGTATCGATAATAATGACTTTTCAATAAGATTTTCCAAAAAATATTTAGTGTATAGATTCGACTCAGAATTTTATTATATGTATAGATAGATGAACAAATGAAATCTTGAGAGTACAAGTCATGTGATTTTGTTACCCGTGGAAAAATTAAATATTATAAAAGGTGATGTTATCGACGTCTTTTTACTTTTCTGCATCAAGTAAGTACATATTATAATGAGATATTGCAAAATTACTACAAAGAGTAATTGGAGTTAAAACAAGTAGGTTACTAAGCTTAGGGTTAAAACCGGTAGAAAATAATGAACAATATCCTTACCATAGAGTTTTCATCAATAGAATCCAGCCCCATAACAGTTACATGGAAGTTGACTATAGTTGGCTGATCGTCTTTTTTAGGAGGTCTCATTTTATCATACAGTCTCGGGTCGTCCGGGAGTAAATCTTGGAATGCTAGGAGCGTTGATCTGGGCATATTGGACGTAATTACAATTATATATTACAAAGTTCACCATTGTATTTCAAAACATCTAGTCTAGATGCTAGGTCTAAATCTTATACTAATCTAATACTAGAACTTTATCTACTATCTTACTTCGTAATTCTTTGTGTTTTTTGACCAACTTGCGATGGGAAATTTTGATGACTTTTTTAATTGGGTCATTAATATGGAAAACATTGTCTATAATTATTATATGACCAAATCAAGAATAACAAATCAATTTTTCATCCTTAAATAAAATTATCTTAATTTATAGATAAAAGTCAATTCTACACCGAAGGTCGCGGTTTCCCCTTAGAGCCAAAATATGAATTTGTCATAATATAATAATCCCATTCAAAATTCTGAAATTTCTAAAATACATACTCCTTATAATATCTATATTGTTTTTATAAATTTATCAAAATCTGTTGTCTTAAAAGTTGATTTTAACTTCAGCGCCAGTCCACACCACTAACTCTATCTTAACTTACCATCCCATTACAGAAAGTCTTTATTCAAACACTTACCTATTTCTCTGCTTTGAATGCAGTTCTATTCTACAGAAAATTGTATAAAATTAAAGACAATATAATGAGAGAAGATAATACAAGTTTGAAGCATTCATATTTATACTCGTATTTGTTACGAATGTCTTGTGTTTGCTTTTGCGTTTGGGTTGTGGGTTCAATTCTCATTTAGGATTTTTATTTTTTTACTAATTGAATTAGATTACTATTGTAAATCCCGGTGAGTTCGACATAACCACCTGTATCTCTGCAAGTGGTATGCGTAAATGCATTTCCCAACATAAAAAAACTTGGGTGCATGTATGTGTATGTGTGTGTGCGTATGAATGTTTGTTATGTTATAAGACGTCTATAACAAATTTAGTTTAAAAGAAAATAAACTATATACATAAAAAACCTTTGAAACTCAATTTAGCGCTAAATGAAAAACTACAAAAAAGTTTTAAAATATATAAAATATTTAACAGCCGTTTTCTCCAAAGTAGCTGTCAATGGGTTGAATATTTTTGCGCTGACGGCCTATTATGTAAGCTACTGTTAGCAACTAGGAGCAAACCTCAGCGGGGTAAAATTGCTAGTGCAAATATTCACTTAAATCAATTTTGTATTTCAAATGAGACTTGTAACTTGGACATTAAAAGTTATACATACATATATAGGCTGTATGTAGGTATTGACGTATTACTTAGCTTTCGAACTTATTTTGAGTTATGTTTAGAAAATGTCTCTCAGCTTAGTAAACAAATATTATTAATATTTTAAAATGATTAAAATGAGTTGCATGCGCTTAGTGTGCAGGTAATCCTTTACATAGTTTATCGATTTAATAATTACAATGTTCATTAAATATGTAGTCTAATAGAGAGGTGTGGAAACTCGACAGCATAAGTATTATAAAGAGGTATAATATGTACGTTTGTATGTAGCGGGTAATCTCCAAAACTACTGATCCGATTCTGAAAATTCTTTCACTAATAGAAAGCTCCATTACCGCCAAGTGCTTTTATATGCTGTTTTTTATTCCGATAAAAATGTATTTACTGTCAGCATTATAAGTTTGATAGATGTCGTAAAAAACTAGCCGTCGAGTCTCCCTTAATCGGCGTGTGCTGCCTACATAGTTTGAAGTAAAGCAATAAGATGTAGGTATGCATGGCAATGACACCAAGGGAAGACCGTAGCAAAAGGTGGGTGAGTCACTAAAAATAGGGAAGCTTGGAATATTTTATCATTTCTGACAGAACGTTTAACAAGCTGTTGGTTTGTTCAAAATGGTGAGTTCAATTATTTATTGAATGCTAAAAAGCTTGTTAGTTGAGCACAAATTACTCGTACTTCGCGAAGTCACGAAGAATGGAAGAAGGCAGAAAGAAGTTCAGTCAGTAAAATAAATTATTAAATTGCAATTATATATGCACGAATATGTGTCAAAATTAAAGTTAATGCTTGTATTAATATATTTATTTTTGTTTGCTTTGTATTTTTATCGACTATCTACCAACTAAAACAAGGCAAAATATTACAATTATTTTTGGCGAAGTCAAAACAATACAGTAAACCAACCACTTTTTTTATTTATTAGCTATTGACGAGCTGTTGTGCTATCAAAAAAAAACTAGTATTAATAAATCTTCTTGGTGTACAATTACTGCCACTTTTTAGGTTAGAATTTTATCTTGAAAATTTATACGGGACTCTTGTAGTGTAACCTATTTATTAAAAAATGTTGAAGATATCTCACATCAGGCAGTAGCAGCAGTAGTAATGTGCTTGCTTGGGAAACCGAGTGAAGCGGGTTCAATTCCAATTTTCGCACTTCTGATATTTGTGCAAAAACAAGTGCAAATTATTATTCAATATGATTCCCACTCGTCTTACGGTGAAGGAAAAAATCCTGAGGAAACCTGCATATCTGAGAGAACTTAGAAAGTTTTAGAAAGACATGTGAAGACCGCCTACTTGCATTAAGCCAGCATGGTGGACTATGGCTTGATCCCCCTCATATTGAAGGGAGGATGGACGTATAAAAGGACTGAAAACATGCACATATAAGCACAAATGAATTGAGTACATTATCTTATTTTAAAACGGGTAAAAATTAAATGTAAGATGTTAGATTTCAAAGCCTCCTTTATATGAGAGTCGAGCCTCTTACCCCTGGGATCGCGATAAGTGGTTATGAACTAAGTAAAATTGCACACTCATACGAATACGCAGACAGTAACTAGTCTATATAAAAATGAAATGTGTGTAATCATTATTTGAGAACGGCTAGATGTTCGATTTAACCAAGTTTACATAAAAAAGGCAAAAAAGAGGCAGAAAATTGGCAAATTCGAGTGAAATTAAAAGTGTTTTTATAGAATGAGTAGCCGAACCCTAAAAAATCTACAAAAATAGCTCTTTAGCCTTATGTTATGTTAAAAAAAAATATAATAATAAAATCGGTCGAGCCGTTTCGGAGAAGTGCGACCACTAACACCGTGACACGAGATATTTATATATTAGATTGAATGGATTCAAAAATAAAAGTATTGAATTTTGGACAGTACACTGTCTGTCGGGTCAGCTAGTTTAATATAAAAAATCCAAAGCTTTATAAAGTGAAATGAATTGATTGCTTTGAGAATTTCATAGTTGGGTAGTTTAAGGTATCGAGATCGAATGCGATTGAAGTTCTTTAGATATCAAAAGGCTATGATATAAATAAAAGTTATACAGACTCTTCATATTGAAAATGTATATAAAATACCTATAGAACCTTCTCTATTTATAATATTAAATATCGTTCATAATATATAAGTTCGTGAATAAATGAATGTTTCTTACTAATAAGGCTATTAAATGTGGAAAGTACCTGTTTGTATGTTTGTGTATGTTTGTTACTATTTCACACTAAACCGACTTGATGGATTTGTATAAAATTTACTTAACAGATAGATTGTCACCTAGAGAAACACATAGGTCACTTAAGTACTAAGCGAAGGTACGAATAAGTTACTTAGTTATATAATGACAAAGTAAAAAAAAACATTCGCCGGTTTTGTATAAAACTCGACACATTGAAGGGCAGTGATGCCCTGGACACAGGGAAATTTTTATCTCTGAAATTCATATATAATAGGCTGCCACTGCTGGCACTGAAAAACGTACACAATAAAGTGCCTTTTTTGCACTCTAGGTTGCAATTCATACTAACCATATGGACTTAGTGTGTACTAGAAAATTACAGTTTGTTTTTTTTTGTTATAAATATTCATGCTTTTTTTTAGTTTCCAAGTTCGTAACAATAGACTAAACGAGCACCAGCTCTGTAAGAAGGGTGGAACGAAAATTTGAGCGGATATAGCGAACTCTATAGTACTTGGAAACAACAAAACATATCCCATTGAGTATTTTCAAATGCCGAACATTCAAAATTTAGGTCAGATTTCTCATTTCTTTAAGGTTAGCGGTAATATATATTCTTTACCATTTTCCATCTTGGTCTGAATAAAATCGAGGATGATGTAAAAAGAATTCGTCTTAAGTCGTCTAGTATGAATAAACACAACCGTGTCAAGAGGACGTGTCTAAGGACAGATTTTTGAATGTGCACCCTAATTGGAATAGCTTCTTGATTATCCACACGTTTTTTTAATACAACTTTCAATAAAAGATTTTAGAAATATAGTTTAGATCTGATGACATATATTTTTTTAAATTAATACATTATTCATAAAAAATATATAAGTATTATCATAACTTAGGAACAAAAAGAAAAAAATATTCTAAGTTGACATAATCATAAGTCGTAAAATACCGATGTCTCTATATTATATTTACATACCGAAATCTTTTATTGAATTCAAATATTATTGTATTTGAACATTTAAATTGAATAAAATTAAATGTTAAATATTTTAGTTAATGACAATGAGATATTAGAAATGATGTGTAAAATGTAAATATATTTTAATATTTTTGTTTTTGTGTCTAAAAATTACAAACAATCTATATACTTACTGTGCATAACACAGGTCACCGGCCCCAAGCCAGAGACGTATCAGCAACATCGTACACCATAATAACCTCTCAGCGGCCATATTGAACTTTTTATTTTTTTTTCTTAACTATAAATTTTGACTACATATTACTGATACTATTAAAAATAAATAAAAAAATAAAGCAACATATAATTTCACTTTTTATTAATTAAATAGAACTAATGCTATCTATTTTTTGTCATTTATTTAATTTAAACATTGTAATCTAAACGTGAGTTTTTTACGATTTTTGCTTAGGAATTTAGCTTTGACAGTTGCCGTCGAAAGCGCGCGAAACAATGATGGACGCGGTGAAAAAAAGCTTTTTAAAATATTCTGCACATGCGTATTAGAAGATGAAGATTTTTTTCGTTTTATAATATGGGTTATATCAGATCATTTTTTATAAAATATTTAGGAACCAATCGATATATTATTTTGTAATTTATAATATTACCTATAATTTTTTATGAAAAACCACTTTAACCAACGTTGTCATAAAATCTAAAAAAATACTAATTTATAATCATGTTCATTTGAAAATAGCATGAAATGCAATAGGTAAGCTTTTCCTTTGTTCTATTGTTTTTGTATTGAATATATACTCGATGATGGCAACATGAAGTTACTTTCAATTTCTACATTTCATTTCTTCCTACATATTACACATACTTTTTCTGTCAGTTTAATTCTCAATAAATATTAGAAAAAGATTTTAATTGCATATTCCTGCTAGCACTGAAGTATTTTAAGTGTAAATTTTAGGAGAAAAGGTTTAATAAAAATCTAGTCCTGCTGTCTCTTTCGCTAGTTCTTCCTAGATCTGAGACACATTCTTTTTACTTAAAATAATACAATTTTTAAATAAAACTATCTTTTCGGAGACAGACAGACAGACAGAGACAGTCTCTCCCGTGACCATGATTGCTGTAAAGCGTTCAAAACGTCGGGAACCAAAAATTTCTTTTGAGTTTAACCTTATTACTGATTATTATTTAAAACCCATCCAGTCGATCTTGAATAACAGGAGCAAGCAAAATCGTGTTGTCATTTCTAAGAATTATTTCATTGCAGCAAAAATTTTCATAATGTCTCATGTCATCAGTAAACTTGACCCACATAACCACCATTTAATAGATGTCGATCTGTTTGATACTTGCTACCTACCCTATTGTTGGCCGAATCGTGCAGTCTCTTGAGCACGTTTGCCCGATTTCTATTGAAAGTCATGAATGTCTTTAACTTTAATCAGTTTTAAATACGAATCGTGTATTAAAGTAAGAATAATAAGAAATATAATAATCTTTATATATTATATAAATACTTTTTGAGTAGCAAAAGTTGCTAGCTTCAAAAATAAGTATCTAATTAGCTTGCTGGCCGCATTGGAACCCAGAGCCTGGCGTACATGTCAGCCACCAGATAAATGAGCATGGAGCAGTCTATAGTCAGGGCATCAGCGATAGCTACGCAGATAGTAATTTTAATCACTCTGTTTAATTTCATAACAAACAATGGATATAAAAAAACATGCATAGTTTTTGTTTTCATCATCGTTTTTTTTATCTTTGCATATTTCATCTATACATATAAAATTGTAACTAAGCCGAATCTGTACATTAAATATTTTTTGGAAAATCTTATTGTAATAAACATTATTATCGATACAGAGGCCAAATCTATAGTTTTTAGATTTTTTGTCTATCTGTGTCTGTCTGTTACCGCATCACAGAAAAACCACTGGAGGGATTTTCATGAAATTTGGTATGATGATAGCTGATTATCCGGGTCAACATATAGGTTACTTTTTACCGCGGGAAAATATCTCATTTCTGAGAAAAAATACAAAAACTGCATTGTAAGAGTATACTAGTATGTAAAACTTAAGAGTTTAGTTTTTGGTAATCTGAACGCGGGCGGAGCCTCGGGCAATGCTAGTAAGAAATATTGCCAGTTTTATAAATTAAAAAACAAAATTTTATATTTTTTACACAGATAATACATACTACTTATATAATTTATGATCACGACCTGGTTCTTCATATAGGTATAATGGAATGCATGTATTAACGAGATCGCATTCGGCGCGGCGTTGCGAAGAATGCACAGCATTATAAAGTTAAACATTTTTTAGTGTAAAATAGACAGGTGATAGAAAGTACAGATTATTTATTACAATTACACATTTTGAGTATAACGACATTTTCATTTTTGATTCGTTATTTTGTTGATTCATTATTTTCCCGTAACGATAGAAAGAAAAATTATATATAAGGACTTTACCAAAATATAAAATTAGGTATCAAATGAACTTAAAAATTGAATGAAGCGTTATTATATGAAACAGAAAGCCTATTACACAGGCATACATCGAAACACTGAATCAAACATTCGTCAAAATCAAAATCGGACCCGCGATGTAGCGCTAATATTTTCAAACGCTCGTTCATGACAAAGTCCTCCTGACCACGACTCGCGGCGACCAATCTCACTATAACCATATTATACGTGGGAAATAATCATGTGCACAAAATACATCTATTACTTCACTTTGTTTATACTCATCGCAGACTTACAAAATCTGGGCTACTACTGACATTTTTTGATAGAAAGACCTAATAAGTTTTAGCTTGCCCTTGGACTAGAACCCTAGTTCTTTTGATCAGCAGCCGAACATACTAACTCTTGAACCATTAAGGCATTATCTCATTAGAATACTACAGACGTTGTGAACGGATGTACTAGCATTTTTAAAAATGGTCAAGGCTATGTTTACTTGACTGTCTTTTGTCAATATGTAAATATTTGACTCGCGTAGACACGTATTAATCGAATCCAGACCTACCTGATTACAAAAGAATACCGTTAAATAAACTCTTAAGGTTATTTACACGCCACTTGGTACCTAAAAAGATTTTGTTTTTTTAGTATTTCTTTAGAAAAAATTATCAGACAACAGGAAAACATAGGTAGGTACCTCAAAAAACCACACCATATCTAACTCTTATGGTAATTTAACAACATCGATCTAAATCTATCTTTAAATTGCAAATTTGGCAAATTTTTGATATCTTAGGTTACATTATTGCAATTTTCGTTGAGATCTCTAGTTTTTTGAAAATAAAATATGGCCCACGTTACTCGCTATTAATGTAGCTTTTGATAGGTGAAAGATTTTTTTAAATCGGTCCAGTAGTTTTTTAGTTTATCCATTACAAACAAACATACAAAAAGACAATTTTATTCTCGGTATATTACTCGTAGTATAGATAAAATAAATGTGGTGATACTTTCACGAGCTTAATAAAATTGAATGGATCATAGCTCCTGCACGTTTTTCATTGCTGGTCATACAATAAAATGAAGCTATTCCTATGATCTTCAAAATGACATATATCACAATTTGATACACTCTGGAGATGGAACCCATACAAAGTTGCCCATCCTCCTTTATACTTTTTGACATCTTTGATCTGACGCGTATATATATATATACTCGTAATTGTATGATGACAAGTTTGGCTCAGTTTGTAGTGTTTACTTGCGTGTACTTGCTGTGCCAACGGTCGCGGGTTCGAGTCCCGCTGGGAGCATTCATTTGTGTGATGAACACGAATGTTTGTACTTCAGTCATGGGTGTTTATATTTATAACATGTATGTATTTAAAGTTGTATAAGTGTAGTGTACCAACTATCTAGTGTCCATAACACAAGCCTCGTAGCTTACCATGGAACTAGATATTACTGCGTGTTAATGTCCCAGTATATTTATAAAAGAAATGTATAATTTATGTTTTTACGAAAGTGAGACAAGTAATATAAATTTAAGATTTTTGTTATTAAAATAAAAAAAATGTGTTTTTTTTTATTTATAATACTTTTATTTGTCATTATTTTTTACAGGCGAATGTAGGTACATTATAGGTAACTATTAACTAATTAATATAAAAATTAATAAAAGGATAATATAATCGTATCACAGCTCGCTAATAGCTAATAAAGTCATTTCACTGAGTTACTTAATACTAGTTTTGTTTTCGATCAGGCTTAGTTGTACTTCAACATCGTTATTTTTGATACCCTTGAAACTGTTTTCTATATCTTGTAGTGTTCTATCTTTAGTTTCTGGTAACATCACATACATGATCAACAGACAGACAGTCAAAGTTACTGAGTAGACTAGAAATGCACCTTCAACACCTATCGAGGAGTAGAAATGCGGCGCTGTTTTCATTGAAACTACAAACGCAGGCGTTAAAAATGATGTCGAGAGGGTTGACCCTAGACTCCTATAAGTTAAAGGGAACACTTCCCCACATATAACCCAGTTAAGTGGCACTAAACCTAAACAAAACGAAAGACTATACAATATCATCAATGTCATTGGAATTGTGTCTAATATAAACTCTTGGGTAAGTATTTCTGCCTTTCTTAAATATATAAAAATGGATATTAAGGTCAGAGATAGCACTGTCATGATGCCACTCGTAAACAATATTGTTCTTCTTTTAACACTTTTCAGCAAAAATATTGCGAGGAAGGCACATATCGTCCTCAATAAATCTATGACTGTAAATTGCCATGCCACGTCTTTTGGATCATCTTTGTTTAAAACAGATTGCAATATCAGATTCCCATAAGCCGGTACCATGTGAGCACCGCCAAATTCAAAAACTATAAGCATACATATAGCTATTATCAAGGGCTTGTAAAATTCTCGTTTCTTAAATATTTTCATAGCACTTTTGATCGCGTCAGATATTGATTTGAACAATCTATTTAATTTGAAATTCGATTTTACTTCCTTGTTCTTTCTCGTTTCTTTTGCGTGTATTTCTTTTTCTTGGCCTCTTATCATTCCTTCTAACTCTTCCTGTTGTAATTCACCTTCTCCACGAAGCCATCTGAATGCTTTTTTCGCATCGTCAAATTTCCCTTTCGAAACTAACCAACTGGGTGATTCTGGAGATAAACTTATAATCGCCATCGCAATAATTGGGAATATAGAGCAAACCACAGCGGTCATTTTCCAAGTCAAATGTGCGCCCCAAACATGGGAGAGCAAGATACCTAATCCCAAAGATATGGCAAAGGTGCCCAAAAATGCACCTCTATACCGTGGTTCAGTATATTCAGCAACGAGGATAGCAGCTAAAGGTGTTCGAAGACCTAAAGCAAGACCATGTAAAAGACGAGCGAGAAGGAACAGAGGGACAGAGTTTCCTAGAACGAAGACGATCCATCCAAGTAGAGCTGGTATGGTGCAGATTAGATGTGCCTTTTGTCTGCCAAAGCGCGTCATGAGGACTGGAGATATAAAGTTGCCGACGATACCCATCACACCAACCGCTGAGGCTGGAAAAAATGTATTGTTTTATAATTCTTGTTTAAATAAATGTTCATTAACATTAATAAAGTCAGATAACGAGACGTTCATATTAGTAAAAATGATTTCATACATTATGTAATACTACTCGTATTACAAAAAATTACTCAATTTTTATAGCTAATAAAACATTTGTTTTAATAGGTTTATACAATAAAATTTAATGCGTACATTTTTTCATTATAAGTAAGTATTGCTTATTTGCTTCCTTTAACAAGAGGCATGAGGCTTGTACACATTTTGCGTATTCACGTCAAGGTTTTACGAATGATCTTTAAAATATTTATTAAAAGATGCTTTCTGTAAGCTATTTTTATGAAATAATTTAATTCATACTATTGCTAAATAGATGTCTTAAGGACACATATTTAGTCTAATTTTTTTTGCAAATCTATACATGTTTCTAAGAGAGTCGAATCTGTACATTAAATATTTTTTTGGAAAATCTTATTGAAATAGTCATTCATCATCATTATTATCGATACAGAGGCCGAATCTACAGTCCTTAGAATTTTTGTCTGTCTGTCTGGGAATGCACCACGAGAAAATCACTGGATAGATTTTGCTGAAATATGGTATGATGATAGCTAACGGTTAAAACGTATCTATAGACGAATCCGAGCGGAGCGGGGGTGAGACGCTTGTGAACATATACGAGTAAATATGAGATGAAATGTACTCTTACCAATCCATGAAGTGTCATGATCTGTCAGTGTGACAGGTCCTCCGTCGCTTTTGATCTGTGCGAACAAGACCGCGGGAAACCCGTGAGCGCAGCCATGTCCTACGATGTTCAACGCTGCGCCCGATACCACGAACGCCTGGAATTTATATAGCTATAGTTAACAGTTTACTAGTGATCCCCGACTTTACTCATGTGTAAAATTCATAGTGTGTATATTTATGTTTGTTTTTAGTAAACTTTTAGTTTCAATAAAGACAATTACAATGCACTGGTGACTGGAACCGACTTCGAAAATATCTGATTAGGTATTTATTCTAAATGAAAACCCAAGTTTAGTTATTTTTTACATTTTAGTGCCTAGAAGTTATACATAGATTATATATAAGACCGACTATACTATAGATAGATTATAGTCATAATTAATACATAGGGATACTTTTTATTCCGGAAAAATATACGGTTCCCGAAAGATAGATTAGTTTTTTGTTTTTTCTAGAGGCGAATCTGAGCGAAGCGAGGGTGAGCCGCTAGTCTAAAATAATTAGTTGTATTATTTATACATATAATAAAACTGTAGAGGTCGAATTTCTGTACATCCGACCAACCGAGTCAGGAGGATGTAAAAAGAGAAATAGAACAAACCCGATTTTTTCCAAATTTTTTGTTTCTCTGTTTGTCTGTTTGTACGGGCTAATCTCCGAAACTGTTGGACCGATTTAAATGATTTTTTTCATGGTGGTACCCTATATCCCCGGTCAAAATTTTAGATACATCCCGGAAAATTAAAGAATTCCCGTGGGATAGGTAAAAAACTATAGCAACTTATGCAGCTTAGTACACAACAAGTTATGCACCTAATTTAGTAAAATTTGGCATGACGATACCTTATATTGCCGGTCAAATAACAGGTTACTTTTTATCCCGAAAAAATGAACGGTTCCCGTGGTATAGATCTGTTTGTTCTTTTCTAGAAGTGACCCCGACCGAAGTTAGAGTGAGCCGCTTTTATATTTAACAAGCAAAGAACCCAATGGGATTTAATATGCTCATACATCAGTTACCCTATTTCTTATTATCTTACTTTAGAAATGACCCATAGAAACTTTCACACCCTATTTCACTCTTTAAGGAGATAATAGTTTATGATGGTGATGGTAGGTGAAGACCCCCAATTATAGTTTTTCTCAAATATCTTCCATGTACGTCTGTTACACTTACACTTTTATTATATGTATAGACCCCTCGCTTCGCTCGGGTGCGTTAGTACGTTTTAAACATAAATATTTATTAGGCAGCGTTAGCCATGTAAATTTTAATAAATTTTTTTCAAGTTATTCTGCTATTCGGGGCGGAGAAAAATCCAAGAAATCAAAGATCTTAAAAATCTATCCAGTATTTCTTGAGTTATAATGGTGCAACTGCTAGTTCTATATATACATGTTTGTTGTATACATATTATTTTAACTTACCTGCTTTATAAATGGCTTCATCTTATCGGAAATTCATGAAGAACTTGACCTGTAACAAATAATGATGATTCTATTATAAAATAATAAAGCTTTTTCGACATGTTAAAGGCAGTGGTAGCCCAGTGGAAGCGGTTTGAAATTTCGGGTATCGTACCTCCGATATTTTCATGTGAGAATCATTTTCAAGATATTTTCCGCTCGTCTACGATAAAGGAAAACATCGTGGAGAGACCAGCATGTAAGAGAAAACCTAACTAGTTTTCAAAGACATGTAAAGCCCGCCAACCCGCACTTGGCCAGCGTGGTGGACTATGGCCTGATCCTTCTCATATTGAGGGAGGCCCACCCCCAGCAGTGGGACATTAAATAGGGATAAATTATTTATCTTTCTGTATGTATAACAAATATTCTAATTTAATACGTATAAGGATACTGTGTCAGAGATGTTAATTAGATAGCGTGAAGATTTCAGTCAATGTCATGATAATTAGGATTCTATTATTAACTTTTCATCACTCATTCTACGAAGTTAATGGTAATTAAAACAGCGCTAATTGAGCTTCTTTTTCATAATTACTTTTTAACAAAAAAGGTACACCGATTTCAAAATGACAAAAGTAATTAGGTACTCATGTACTACACATATATAACTTTAAATACATACATATTATAAATATATACACCCATGACTGTAGTACAAACAATTGTACTCATCACACAAATGAATGCCCCCAGCGGGAGAGAGTTCCCGATATTTGGGCACTGTTACAAGCGCCATGATCACATAGTAAATATCTCATTTTACATCATAATAATATTATCAGTGACAATGAAAATTTAAAGACTAATATTCGACGTCTTTGCAAGCATTTACGAGTATTGTAACTGGAGCGACTATATGCAAGTCTACGCACAATAGAATACCACGCTTGAAAAAATTACTCGTCGTTATGATATTGACCGGAATTTGTAAAGAAAGTAGGTAAAATATTTTATATAATATTTATTTTACAATCCATTCGTTTAATTTTATGTAAATTCTGATCTAGATTAGCTTTTTGAAAAGCTATAAATGTTTCGATATTCAAAGTATCAAAACTTACACTAGGTACTCTAACTCTACACTAAACGAGTATTTACATATATACCTATAGGCTATTACCTATACTAATATTATAAATGTGAAAATTTGTGAGTATGAATGTTTGTTTCTCTTTTACTCTAGAAAGGCTGAACGGGTCTGGATGAAATTTGGCACAGAGATAGATTATAGTCTGGAATAACATATAGACTACTTTATATTTTGGAAAAATATACGGTTCCCGAGGGATACATTTGTTTTTGTTTTTCTATAGGCGAACCCGAGCGAAGCAAGGGTGAGCTGCTAGTCTATATATAAATATAAATAAGCATAAACAAAACAGTACAGTACTTTTTCTCCCATGTTTGTCAACCGATTTTTTTTTGTTTCGTAGCTATTGAGGAGTTTTAGTTTTATCAATAAAAAAAAATGGAAATAGTTCTTCTTATATAGATAGGTAAGTTCTATTCATACTTTTTTTTAAATATTGAATAATGGTTATGATCGTATTTCGACCATTGGCGAACACTAGTATTATTATATACTAGCGACTCACCCTCGCTTCGCTCGGGTTCGTCCCTAGGTTGCTTAAGAGATGATTTCCAGAATAAAAATTATCCTATGTCATTTCCAGGGTCTCTAACTATCTTTCACCTTATTTCATCTAAATCGGTTTAGTAGTTTCGGAGCCTATTCGGTACAAACTAACAAACAAAAATATCTTTCCTCTTTATAATATTAGTATAGACTCTTTAAGTCTAATAAGGAGTTTATAGCCGTATATCACATAAAGAAGTAAATATCGGAGTACATTATCTTTTTTGCTAATATAAATGTAAAATATATTTATATTTAATACTTGACAAACCAACACTTGTCTTGCACGAAAATCAAGCGGGTACTTAATAGGTAATTATTATGTTAAAAGCTATCGACATGAAGTACCTTACCTTGTAGCGAACAAAGCCGCGTGTACTAGCGATATAAAACCCACGAGGGCCATTAAGTATAATCACTCCCAGCGTAATGCACCGTATTCAAACGAGGCTTTCAGAAAGAGTTCAATTTTATGGAAAATATCTAGTGAAATATTCGTTTTCATATGCTGTTTTTTAGAATGAGGACTTTATTTTTACATACTTTATGCCTTATTATAAGACTTGTTAAACGTTCTGACCTCGTTTCCGCTACAATTTTTTTTTGGGATTTGAGAAAAAATGCTTTATTAATTCATATGAGAATCTACTACTTCAAGATCGTTTTATTAAAATCCTGAACAATATCTATTCATATAATAAAATCCTAACTGAGTTGAATCATTAAATATTTTTTGGAAAACCTTATTGAAATAGTCATTATTATCGATACAGAGGCCGAATCTATAGTTTTTAGAATTTTATCTGTCTGTCTGTCTGTGACTGAGTCTCGGAAAAACTACTGGAGGTAATTTGATGAAATTTGGTATGATGATAGCGGGTTATCTGGGTCAACGTACGAGTATATACCTATATAGCATACTTTTCACTGCGTGAAAATATCTCATATCTGAGAAATCTATACTAAAAGTTAAAACGTTCCTCGAGATGAACCCGATGGGAGCGAGGGTGAGTTGCTAGTTTAAAAATAAAACTACAGTAAAATATCAAACATATTTTAGAAATAAAAAATGCTAGAAAAGTTTTAACTCCCCAGGTGTTCTCGATGCGCGAATCCGACTTCCACTTGGTCGCTTCTATTATATTTTTTCTCACCATTATACTTTGTAAGTAATTACTAATTAGGTATCTAAAATTTTATGCTTTATAATTAATTAGTTAGTCATCGTCAGGAAAAAAATGAATCTAGAGGGACTTGTGGCTATTATCCTTAGCGTTGAAAGTTGTCAAATCCGGCAAATTAAAAAAAATCTCTTGACCCAAATTCACTGAGACCTTTCATCCTTTCACCAAATTCATCTGACCAGGGACAAATCCGAATATGTACACTCTCGCAAGATATGAACGTCTTGGCCAAATATTTTTTTGCAGTAAAAAGTGATAGGTATTGTATAAATATTGATAGTAATTGTGTCAACATTTAAAAAAATGCATACCTGATATAATTATACATACATCGTATGCTAATTGTTAAAAAATCAATAAATATAATTCGACAAATTAATTACAGAAGTGCTAAGTTGGCCAAACAAATTTTTATGATAGAAATCTAAATAGTAATTAATAAACTGTTGTTTTTTTCTTTATTTCTTTATATATACATATATGTATGTATTACAACCCAAGCCACATTTCCGGCCATGACTGAACTTGTCCCTCATTAATCATTATCATCATGATAACTTTAAATACTCCGAGTCAAGGTTAATTTCTCACGTTACTTACCTTTCTTTTTTCATTAGCAAGTAATATATGTAAATGTGCAAAAACAATAAGTACGATAAATATAAGATAAATAATGTCTCTGGTTGAAAATATTTAATACCTTTCATTATTTCATCAAGTAAGAAAATAAATATTAAAAAAAAAAACATTTTTAAAAACAAACTTTTATATACTTAAATTGTGTCATGTAATAATAAATGGGTTTGATTTAATTTAAAGTTTATTTTTTTGGTATTTATTCGTATTTTTACACGATTATTTCAGCAAACCCTTTCATGTGATATCCATATAATGGGACAAACATAGTCCGCCATCTTTGGGAGTCTGCCATATTGGATTTAGAATGACGTCACTTATGCATCCATATGCATGCATAGGCCATGCATCATGGAAACTAAACGAGTATGCAAAAGTTCACGTTAATCGGTTGAGGATTTAAAATTCAGTTGCATGTTTTGACCTAAACAAACATACATACGTACAAACATTGCAGTGTGAAATAAAAGCTTGTAACAATGGCTTTTTATTGACCGTCTTTCAATAAAGTGGAATCACTCGATTTGGGTGTATGTATATTTTTATTATTTAATCTCTAATTTTAAAAAACCTTCCTTCTAATTATTCTATATTCGTCCTTCTTAGTAAGTAGCTCATACAGGTAGTTTCGTTCTTCTAGAGCCGGCATTTTAGTCTGTACGTATTGTCTGTCAGACGATCAGTTGTAGAGTTTTATAAAAGAACATAAATATTTATCCCTCCCTAATTCTTGTATTTGACAAATCCATATAAATCCCAAGGCAGTGGTAGCCCAGTGGTAACGCTCTCGCTTGGGTAACCGAGTGAAGCGGGTTCAAATCCCGGGTCTCGCACCTCTGATATTTTCATGTGCGAATCATTTCTAACACGTTTACCACTTGCCTTACGGTGAAGGAAAACATCGTGAGGAAACCTGCATGTCTGAGAGAACTTAGCAAGTTTTCAAAAGACATGTGAAGTCCGCCAACCCGCACTTGGCCAGCGTGGTGGACTATGGCCTGATCCCCCTCGTATTGAAGGGAGGCCCGTGCCCAGCAGTGGGACGTTAAAAAGGGCTGAATACATACATATAAATCCCTTAAAAAAATCCCTTCAATCGTACACAGAATATTTTTGTGTGCATATAATAAAAATCCGAGTTAATAAAACTATACATCAATTATTCGTTCGAAAGTTGGCGAGTGATCACAATTAAAAAAAAATATTTCGTATATACAAAATCATCATATTTAAGATTTTTTTTCTGTATTTAAAATCAAAACATTTCATCTCCTTTGGGCTTCACCCCAGTTGGGTAGGAAAGGCAACTTGAACTTTAGTTATACTGTAATTTAAAGAACTATGCTTACATACTAAATAGAAGCTGCTATCGCTGTTAAGTATACAAAGCAAAGTTGCGCCATTTAATTATGTATTAAACTAGAAAAAGATAATTATTATACAGTAGGTATACGTAATAACAATTCAATTGTATAAGCTTTAATGACCAATGTTAAATACTGCCGCTATCAATAATATGGTAA